TCCTCTGCTACCACAGATACCCTGGAGAAGAAGTACTTATAAACTGTCAAATAATTTTAAGTACTTTTAAACTTTTGCTTACATACTAAGTATGTAAGGTACCTGAAGGCATCTTCATTGCTTCTGGATCAAGCTTTACCTACAGTTAGCATTACTTCTAGATTGCTCAGATTACTCTTTGAGCCAATTTAAGTTGCATTTTTCATTACTTGCCACATTAAAACAATACTTAACTTATGCTTGTGTCTCCTCCACACTGGGTATGCGCCAACAAAGATAAATATAACATAGTTCTTGACTTTAAATATTAAACAGCTGTTTGATGGAGAGACAAAAGCACAGAATGATACTCACTATACAATGTGGTATGTACTTGTATGGAATCAATGAACCACATTTAGAATAACCTAGTTAACATATTCAATTGACCAGAATAATTTCTTCTGAGATCATTTGTATAAAATGGAGATTGGCTATATCTTGACCTGAAGCTGAGCTACAGCTCTTGGTGAAGTTGATTACAAATGCTAAATTTCATCATGGTAGTTGTTTCTGTGCCTAACCCCTTACTTTTCTGAATGTATGGCCTCCAACTGAATTATAACATATCCCATCTTTGGACACTAGGCGGTTCTCCTGGAAGAGTGCTGTAGAATTCCAGAAACCTCTGAAATAAAAGCAATTTGTCCTTGAGAAAGCATTATTTCTACAGAGTTTTCAAAATTGCTGTTTTATTTTTTTTTCTTTAGAAGGGAAATAGACCAATCTTTGTCCTCCTTCAACTTTTAAAGTGATAAAAGTCACCTTCAAGCTGAACTGTAGACTTAAACATTACAGATAAAAATAGGAAACTTCTTCCAAGTTATGAGCTTCCATTCTTCCCTTCATCTCCAGCTCTAAAGAAACTGAGAAGTCTTGAAGCATCCTATAAACCAAATGCGACATTCCATTGAAAAGGGGATAGGATTTCATGAAAAGAATCTGTCTCTTTGAAAAATCAAGAAAAAATGTATTTCTCTAGAATATATTCTAAGGTGGCTTTGTACTTGGCAGCAAAAGGAGAGAAGGAAGAAAGGGCTGAAAGAGAGAGAAAAGAATGACAACTGAAAATAGAAAAAGATAATTATAAGCATAAATAAAGGAAGTAATAAAGTACACAATTTCAGGAATAATTTTGCAAATTGTGTGAACATGCTATTATTGTGACACCTGCAATTCCTTGATCTTATTTTCTAATGTAGTAAAACTTTAGAAAGGATTAAAAAGACTAAATAATGCAGAGTGTTAGGCATCTCATTGGAAAGGCCTGCTTTTTAAGAGTAAGAGAGTGAAATATTATGTGGCAGAGAGAGGCTTTTATGAAAGGTTCTGTTTGTGTTGACTGAGGCTTTTCAAATCTGTCCCTAACAAAAGGATTTGTAGTTGGATTATCCAGATTAATTTGCTGAGCCAAGGACTAGTTTCTTCTTTTCCTTTCTGTTTTTTTGTTTGTTGGTTGGTTTGTGTGTGTTTCTTTCAATGAAACCTAATGCTTAAACCCAAAGCCTAGATATCCAAGTAAAATTTGTTGGCTGCTGATTTAAGAGAAGGCTTCAATGGCTGGGACTAAAAATTGGAGTCTACTAAGAATGGAAAAGTTTGATGGGATGGGTGAGGGGTTTGTTATTAATTTTAGTGAGGATGGGACTGTTTCTGGAATTGTTTCACAATGGTTTCAAGGAATGTGACTTTTAAAGAAATGATTATTAATATCTCTAGACCCATGTGTAATAATAAGAAGAAATAAATTGGAATAGAGTTTCAGTGGGAAACTGAAAACCAGCTTCACCTGTATGGAAGGAGTACAGTATGAAAATTATGGAAATGATGTCACTGTTTTAAATTATTTCTTTTTTGGGTCAATAAAGATGTCATTTATAAGACAAGGTATTTCTGAAATACGAGAAAACTTGATTTTTTCTGCTCACCCAGGTCAGTACCAATTATTGTCCACTGCAGAACATGATGGGTGGGGCAATTTTATCCCTAGACATATGGTTGAAATTCATTAGGAGTATCATTAACTAAAGGAAGAATTGTCCCAGCTGGACACAATCTATGTCCTCACCATTCAGATAGAGGAAAAGCAGGAAAGGTCATTTCACCCAAGTCAATGCTCATTGATATATGGCCCACCTGGAAATCCCAAGGACTGGGATTAAGGCGATGCATCTGATTTCTCAGAACCATTAGATCTCTTTAATTCTATACCTGATACTATATAAAGATGCCTCTGGAACCTAAAACTTTACTACAGTCTGATCCAAAGTTATTTACCCAAATTCACCTCCATGTACACTCACCTTCCACTCTACTGACCCTATGGAGACTGATCATGTTTCCAAGGCTTAATTTTGCCTCTTCTATCTGATTTTTCAGGCCTCATTTTTCATTTCAACTTAAAAAAATGAAGTCTCACCCTGTTGCCCAGGCTGGAGTGCAGTGGCACAATCCTGGCTCACTGCATCCTCTGCCTCCCTGGTTCAAGCAATTCTCATGCCTCAGCCTCCTGAGTAGCTGCGATTACAGGTGCCTGCCACCATGCCTGGCTAATTTTTGTATTTTTAATAGAGACGGGGTTTCACTGTGTTGGCTAGGGTGTTCTCAAACTCCTGACCTCAAGTGATCCTCCCACCTTGTCCTCCCAAAGTGCTGGGATTATAGACATGAGCCACCGCGTGCGCACTCTGCCCCCCTCCACCACCGTCGCTTTCTGACATAAAAATGGACCAGTGTCATGGATCACGATCTTCTTGCACATTGAAGTCACTTGGGGAACCTAAATTAATACTTGAGTCCCACCCATTAAAATGCTAAGTTAATTGGTCCAAGGTGTGGCATGGGCACTGCGACTTTTAAAGTTTCCCAAGGTGATTCTAATGTGTGGTCAAGATTGAGACCCACTGGACTAAATTCTAAAGGCCGCAGAATTCACACAATTTTTGCCCTAGCCACTTCTCCCTTACTTCCTCTTCTCCATCTCCATTTCCTGTCAAATTTCCTTGGGTAATGACCTACATGAGAAACTGCTACAGAGGCTTTGGCTCCATCTGGGGTGAACTGAACATCTGTTTTTTGGGGCCTCTACCTGATGGTTGGTAAAGTTATGTGGACTTTCTGCTCAGGGTGCCTGATGCAAGGCATTGACTGCTTAAGCAAGGTTTTCTACTCGATGTTTGGCTTGTTGGCCATCCCACAAATCAGGCCCCAGCTGATTTTCTCGATTTATTTTTTCATGTTGAAATAGCTCTGTAACTGGAAAACATAACGGAAGCATAGCAACCAAAGAAGAAACTCCCTTGCACTACTAGTTTTTCTCTGCTCACAGTTTTGCTATCTAGGAGGAGAAGTTGGCAGGTTGGAGGGAATCATCCTGTGCTTCCCACTGAGTGTCTGACCTCAGATAGAAGCTCCTTCCTGACCAGTGGTTTGTTGTGAGGGTGCTACCTCTGCTTACTGATAATCAGGAAGAAAGGAAATCCACTTCTCTATTAAGTGGAATTCAAAGAAGAATTTCAATGTCCTTACCTAAAGGGGTTTGAGAGATTACTCCAAAGGAGTAGAGAGCTGAGGAGGGGAATAGGGTGTTTGGCACCAGGTCCTATACCCAGTTTTAGGTAACACCCGTGAAACAAGTAATACTCTGGAAGGCATCCTTCCTAAAAGGAGCTTTCAACCAGGACATTCTGTTGCTTGCTTCCCCCTCTACTTTTGAAACTTTTTCTCCTTTAGTTCTTTTTTACTCAGGTCCCCAGTGTCCATTTTTTTAAAATTTGGGGAGCCACCAGATTTACCAAGAATATGATCAACTCTTAGTCTCTATTTTCCCTTCTTATGTCCTACAAATTTGATACTCGTGGGCATCAGTTGGCAACATTTTTATCCTTTGCTTTGTTGACATTGCTCTGATCTCAGTGTACAAAAGCTTGGACACTGTGTGGGGGATGAGCTTGGTTCCCATTCACTCAGAAAGGGGAAGAATGAGAGAGGGGTTCTACTCCAAGCAGTAAATTATTCCCTTTAGGGATATTTAAATTCAAATACATCACAATACCATAAGGTTTCATTTCTTTCCCAAGTCTCAAGTTGGAACATCTTGAGAAACAACTATTCCTCATGTTAATTTAATTTTGACTTTCTTTCATGAACTAATAGCGTGGCCTTACAATGACCAAGAAAGCATTCATCCCTTTCCCTGAGTTGATTCAAAATCATTTGTATTACCATGACAGAGACTCTCTAAGCCCAAATCACAAATTCCTAATCCCAGGAGAAGACTAATCAATACAACACAATGTTGGTTATCTCAAGTTTCTAACTAAAGGAAAGCATTATATCCTTCAGAATTTTTGGCGAGGGTGAGATATTGAGATAAACTCATCAGACATAAAGATAACATTGTTCATTTGGTTTAGAAATGAAGTCCGTATTTCAAAATAGTAACTAAGGAACAGTGTATGTGTTTGTGTGTGTGTGTGCATGAATGCACACATGTGTATGCTAAAAAATAATACTTAGAAGCTATTTACATAGTCATAAAACACTTAAATTATCAGTGAATGTTCTGTATCTCTCCTGTTCACAATGGAGTTGGAATGCTGTCTCCAAATACAATTTATTTTATACTGAAGGTTAGCAACCCCTTTTAACTTACTAATGTGATTTTCATCCATTAATCCAGGCTCTTAAACCTATATTTCAATTTCTAATTCTAATATTTTGACACAGAACCACACCTTAACAGTAGGAATGAATTTGACTTCATGTCTTCCTAAAAGCATGACTACCGTTTTTCTATTTCTATAGTGAGGATTTTTTTTTTTTTAATTTGAAAGGTACCATTATTTTCCTTTAGTGATCGTACTTTATGCCACAGTTCAACTCTATGCCTGAGATATTTGTCGCTTCAACATTGCTTTGTCAAGTCTTTTTTACACCATGACTCTCTTTTTATTCTGCACATAATGAATAAGAGCATCAAGGGAAAACTGACACTTTTCATGAGTTTATTTCTGAGGTGGGAATTCATTTACATTGTATCCACTGTATTTTAGTATCACACTGGGTACACTGCATTTCATAGATGGAAACATTCAAACATTGATAATGTTGTTCAAAAGAAAGGTAACTGGGACAAAACTGCTATCTTTTATTATGAGAAATTCTTTGATTTAATTTTCATACTTTGAGTATGATGCATAAAAGACAATTTATTTGAAAGGCTCACAGACATTTCCTGCAGGGCAACATGTGCCTATTTATCTACATGTTTCTTTCCTTCTTCTTGAAATAAGGGGCAAGAAACATGTAGAGTATTTTTAAATGGGAAAGCACAGGTATTTGCTCACCCTGTTCTCACCCCCAGCTGACCCAATTTCTTCTCTTTTCAGATTCAATTATCTACCTTCTTTAAGGAGCCACCAACAATTATCCTTGTGCGCACTGAGTTTCCCCTTGCTTCATATAGTTTTGGGGTTTTGTCTCCTCAAAAATACTGCAGTTTCCTTAATTTTAGGGACCATATTTTACAATTCTTATACTCTTATTGTACTAAGTATACAGTCAATTCATCTCACTTTTGAATTCATTCAAATAATAATTCATTAAACACAAGTTTGTTGACAGTCCTTTAAATGTGAGGCATCATACTAAGCACTGTGAAGGCTACAATGAACAATACACCCCTACTTCGTATTTAGTGTAATGACTGAAGCTTCATGAAGAAGTGTTCCTCAGGAAGCAGCAGGAACCAACAACTGAGGATATACTGTCTCCATCTGTAGCTTTCTAAGAATCCTCAGAGGTCCTTTTTGAACTCAAGTTTCCCCTCATCTACTTTTGGGTTTATATCCGGACTCACAGGTCAAGAAGCTTCCAGGAAGCTTCCAGGAATACACTCTCAATGACACTGACATGTTGCTGAGGTGATCCCATAAGATCACAGTGGCATAAGAGACCCTAGAGATGTTGAGATAGTTGTAGTGACTACGGAACTGGACTTTTCATTTTTGTTTTCTTTATATTGTGGGCCACAGTGATCAGGAATCACGTAGGCCAAACACCCCTTTTTGCTGCATTATGGCTCTCACTCCTCTTCCATATCCCTAGGCTCCAAATTTCAGCTTCTGGACAGTACAGAGGCTGGCAACTCCTCTGCTCTGGAGAGAAGCAACTCTAAAGGTGTTTCTGGGTGGCTGGTAAGCAATATTAGGGTTTATATTCCTTGAAAATGATAACACCAATTACCATTTATTGTGGTAGGTATTTCTTTTGATCATACCCTGTTCAAGACATTGTGAAGAGACAGGTTCTTGCCCAAGAATTATAGGGATGGCTAAACATACAACACCTTATAGTGGGCAGATGACATTGATAACCATTTATTAGTCACATAGACTCACATCCCCAGGGAGAGAAATACCACACATCATATAAGGTTACACAGGGTCTGTATTCAGGAACAGAACAAACAACTAATGGCTATGGTTGGCAGGCTTTATAGTACCAAGAAGGTGAGGTCTCCTTACTATGTACTTTCTATATATTATCTCATTTAACCTTCTTAATAACTCTACTAGAGAGTTATTTTTATCTCTTATTTTACAGTTGAAGAAATTGAAGTTCATAGAATGTAAGCCACCCCATGTAATTGTCTAATAAATGGAAAATCCACGATTCAAACCTGGATCTCTATCTCTCTGTAGTTGTGACATGTATAGTGACACAGATTGTAAAGCATTCCTTGTGAATCATACCAGGCCATGCTTCCAGCTCACAATGCATGTTGACACCAGAATGTAGATGAGAAAGTGGGGTGTAGATTTGTGATGCTCCTGCTGCCTACTCTTCTCAATGAACTGCAGCTCAGCTGATGGAAGACGCTAATATCTCACAAAACCTTAACAGCTTCTATTTCCCGTGGATTATGTTTCCCTTGAGATTTTTGAAGTTATTATGCCAATCTCAGGCAGATCTTTTAGATTAAAATGGGGACATGTGACTTGGAATGGTTCAATTAAAGTCATCTATGGCTATTTTCAGAAGCGAGCTAAAAATTAACTGATATTAATGCCTACAATTATTCATTTTTTTATGTCAGAATCAGATTGAATACACAAGGGCATTTGCTATTGATGAATGGTTTTCCCAGAGAATTTTACAAAAGAAGAGCATAGGTTGTTTCCATACATATCACACATGTGGTGTGTTTTCTCTTAAAATAAAGTGGTTGTCCCCTCCGGACTCAGAATGCAGTGGATCAATTTCTCCACTGTTGATGGTGGGGAGCATTCACTCACAGCAGCAGGCAGAAAATTTTAGGTCACTCTTTTTCTCATCCCTTTGCTTTAGGTATACTTGTAGGGTTACCTAATGGGTTATCTTATGGGTTGTAGCAGTTAACTGTTGCTGCCATCATACTGCACAACAAACAACCTAAATATCTCAGTGGCTTAAAAGAGGGAACAGTTATTTCTCTTGCTCATTGTTCTGAAAATCAGCAAGGATGACTCTGCTTCAAGCTGCTAGGTGGTCCACTTCAGGGGACTCAAGGAGTCAGTTTCATGGGCCCACCAGCCTTCTTAGATCAATGGCTACCTGGTATATGTTCTTCTAATAATGAATAGCAGGAGTGTAGGAGAGTATGTGGAAATATTTGACACCCCGGCTCTGAATGAGCACACTGTTACTTTTGACCAGTGGGAGGTACTGCAAATCACATGGCACTGGGTAAGAAGCGATGGGACTATGATCTAATCTGCTACAGGGCACCCAACGTACTGGTGCAGGGACATTTGTTTTCCTCCTTTTGGCTCTTTAAATTTTGCCACCTGATTCCTCTTTTTATATATCTAAATCTATATTGATATCTATGTCTATATATAAAATCATGGCAAATAGCTATATGAAAAGCCACTTTAAAGTATATTTAATTTAGGCAAAGCTAAACCCTCAAAAAAGAAGATTAAAATTACACCAAGATTACTTCACCCCCAAAGCTGATATTTTTCTTACTTTTTATATTTTTTTCGGGATGAATAAAAAAGTTGTGTTTGGGAGATGCCTCCACTGTTTAGGAAGAACCAGAAACTAAATTTATTGCATACTTTCTCAAAGAAAAGTCGGTATGTTATAGATAAATCACCCAATTTTCCATAGAGAAGAGCAATGTACGCATTCATGAATTGGAATAAAGCATGTGCCCAGAATGTGATGCATTTTAATTTATTGTCTTAAGTAAGATCTTTTTATCTTAAAATGGTTGGCAGATTCTTAGTACTGGCAGTGTACTGTAATATAGGTGAGAATCAAACATGAATGTGCTTATTAATATTAAATTGTCAAGTCTATTACTTATGATGAACAAGAGTTCTTATCACATCATGGTAGATGGTTAAAACATACAAATAATTACCTTTAACAAATCCAATGTTCCTTATTTTGTAAAATGCTCAGCTACTCTTCTGCATGACAGGAAGTAGCTAAATTCAGGACTGGCAGTACAGACTTGGAACTAGATTATACGATGCTAATACATCACACTCATCAGCTCTGAGTGTCAGAAGACTGAGGTTATGGTCCCCATTCTGCCTTACTAACTTTGAAAGGCTGGTGAGACACTAAAAGTTTGGGGGCAGGGAAGATTATAATGGTACATAATGTACGTTCTCAAGCTTAAATGAATTAACCCAAGTGTTAATGATCATGATGATGAAAAACATGTAGACGTGTATTATCCTGGCATGGGGCAGCGTTGCACAGCTGTGACTTGGTGATGTTACCTCTAGAGTCAGAATGCTTGAACTGCATCCCCCTGCTCTACCACTTGAAGAAGGTGTGACCACAGAGGAGTTTATGACCCTCTCTGAACTTCAGTTCTTTCATCTGTAAAATATGAATTGTAATAGTATCTACTTCAGAGGGTTGCTGTGAAGAGTAATCGAAGAAGGCATGAAAAATGCTTAGCATGACACCTGGCACACAGTAATTCCTTAATAAATGTTGTTAGCTAAAAGTTATCATTTTCATTATTTTAAAGAGTTAAATTTATGCAACACTAAAGCGTCGCAGAGGGCATTTTATTACATTGAGTCTTAAAAACAATGTACTTCATTTTATTTTGACAACCAGGCATTAATCCTTTATGCCATTTTTTGCTGGTCTTTTAGACTCCATGGGATGGCATCCGAGTGGCTTGGAAAAGAATATTTAGTTGTGTTCATCCACCTTTAAAAGACACCTCTTTTGGTGAATTCCAGGTACAGCATGCCACACCCTAATTTCCTGAATAAAAAGCTCAGATATTACCTAGGCTTTTCAAGAAACAGGTCCACATATGTGTGGAGATTTGGAAGGTGCTAGAAGGGCAGAGATTCCAGCTGATTACAACTCTTGGGTCAAAAGTTAGACAAGAAATGTAATAAATGACGTTAACAGGAGCTCAGTCATTTTCTTGCAAGGTGACAAGTGATTATAGTTTTTGATATAAAGCCTTCATTAAAAGATGTCTTCAAACAAAATTAACTCCATCCTTTTCTGGCAACCAATATAAAAGATTTAAGACCATGTATTCTGTGATACAGTAGAAATCAAACCTATTTTTGGCTAGATCAGGTTGAACTTGACAGTGAAACTGTGTTGCTGGCTAAAATAATTAAGCCGGTTTTACAAAACCTCATCGACTCCATGTATTTTAATCATGAACTTCATAATCATTAAACTTAAGGGCCAGAGCCCAATAACTACAAAAATGATGATAATGATAGACAGACAGATAGATAGGTAGGTAGGTAGATAGATAGATAGCATGTAACACATGCCTGATTGCATCTCCCAAGCATCTCTCAAATGTACCTACTTTGTGTCTCCACTGCCACAACTCTGGTCTATGCCTCTAGCTTTTGTTCACCAGGAATTAGTGCAACAAATACCTGAGCTACTTATATCCAATTTTCCTCTCACTCTTGACAATTCATTCTGAATGCTGCTGCCAGTTAGCTTTCAGAAATACAAAGCTGATCACACTCCCATCTCAGCTTGGAGCTCTTCAAAGAATTGCAGTGGGGTGGGGTGGTGGGTTAGAGGGTTGTTGTTTCTAGGAATTCAAGATAAGAGAGGTAGGAACCTAATGGGTTATGAGGATGGAGACAAGAGATTATTCCAGAAAACTGGACAAGATTGATATGGAAGGGCCATATCAGCATAAAGGGGTCTGGCCTGAACATTATTGAGAGGGGCATAGGGAGTTATTAAATGTATCTAAACAATGTGCATAATATGTCACTTTTATATGAAATTTTAGAAATGTATGTGCAGGGAGAGAGAAGAGGTCTAAAAGAAAGCACAGAATAGGAAAGAATACTTACTTCTTAGTGGCTTTGGAATAATTTATAATTTCGCTTAGTGTCTTTTAATATTGCTCTCATTTTCTACATGATTTTAAACCCTCCGATTTTTAAACATTGAAGTTACTTTTGTTTTGTAAGCAAACTAAAAGAAAAGCAAAAGTCCTGAGCTTCTTTTTTTTTTTTTTCTTTTTACCACTCCACAAGGCAAATTAAAATACCGAGTTAATTGGGCCCCTCTGCACTTGTCTCTTATTGTAGCTAAATCTCTGGCCCAATGAACTGTTTTCTAATAGGCTTCCCACTGTCTCTGGCTTCCAAATTTCTTGCCTGCAGAAGTCTTTTTGAGTCTCTTACTGGCAGAACCATAGCCCCTGCTAGCGGAGCCGAGCCAACTGTGAGTATCATTGACCAAATGGTAAGCCGATTCTAATTACAGTGTTTTTGTTCCTCTTTGAGAGGAAACATACAAGAGCCATCATTTACAATCCTGGTCAGAGTTTTTAGATCTCCCAATCTCAGAAGTGATCATTGGAGTTGCAAACAGAGCCAATCTACTGTGAAAATTGCTGGAAGGGAATTAATAAAGCTTTTGCATTTTTTTCCCCATTTTTAAGGAAAACTAATTTAATGGGTATATGGGATTTTTAGCTCTGAGGAAAATTCCTAATGAAGCTGGGCCGGGGGGTAGAATAAGAATTCAAATGTAATTAAATGCACATAATTATATCATTCTCCCAATTAAGATATTTCATTATATATGGCTATTTCCCCTTTAAAATAATTTTCTGGAAATAGAGGCAGCATGATCTGATCATGTATTCATTTTTTTCTCGTTTTCTCTCATGTATCTACACGTAAGTTCTCACTTCTCAGAGGTATGATACATACTTCTCAGCACAGGGCATTTCCAAAAGACAGAGGTAGATTGGCTTCAAAGGCAAAGTTGCCCCTGAAAACTAAGGGCAACACAGAAAGATACACACATAGCACTCAGAACAGGATGGCATTAATTGATCATCTTCACTACCTAAATTTTTCTCATATTATCTACTAAGAAAACCTTCCAAAATTCCTTGGAGATAAAGGGTTAATATAGTGTAGTAGTTTGCTGGAATGTCATAACTAAATAGCATAGACTGCGTGGATTAAACACCAGAAATTCATTTTCTCAGCTCTCTTGAAGCCAGAAGTTCACGATCAAGATGTTGGCATGTTTGCTTTCTTCTGAGGCCTCTCTCTTTGACTTGCAGATGGCTGACTTCTCACTGAGCCTTTGAACACATACACCCTTGGTGACTCTCTTTGTGTCCTATTCACCTTTCTTAAGACACCAGTCAGATTGGATTAGGGCCCACTCCAATAGCCTCACTTTTACCTTACCTCTTTAAATGCACTGTTTCAAAATACAGTCACATTCTGAGGCACTAGGGCTTAGAGATTCAACATACTACTTTTTGTCATAATTCAGCCCATTTTATATATAGCATCAGCTGGAAAGCACAAATTGACAAAATGAAACAATAAAACAACTAAGATATTGTTTGTTATCTTATAAAAATAGCAACAGTGATAAGATAATCTTCCAAATCTGAGCAAAGAGATAAATATGGACCTTTTTCACTCCAAAGAAAACCAAGAAGCTGCTCAAGCCAGAGCATTACTCTTCTTCTTGCAAGTGCCTGATGCCTCTCCAAGATGTTCATGCCTCATAAATGAGAAGTGGACAGAACATGAGCTTTCGTGTCAAGTGAGTTTTCTGTAAGTCCCAGCTCTCTTACCAGGGAACACCTTGGGCAAGTAACTTAGCATCTCTGGGTCTCAATTCCCTCATTTGAAAAATAATGCTCTCATCCACTCTACCTCCCTCCTTCCAAGGTGAATGAGGATCAAATTAGCAAAAGCTACTGGGGGGCTGTGAGATTGGGAGACTTGAACTTGTGTCTGATCTTGAATCTTGGTGATCAAGGCATAGTTTCACAGCAAAGGATAAATGGATATCCAATATTTCTGGAACATGAAACCAAGTTTGAGGAAACAAATTATAAGAAATCAGAACTTGAGCAATATAGAATATTAAATGAGTCTCGGAACTATCTATAAATTTGGGAGAAATGTAAAAGACAGCAAATAAATGCCATTTTCTTCCATGTTTCATTACATAAAGGATTTGAGAGATGGTAAATAAATACAATAAAATGGGAACATACAAATAACAAATTTAAAATAATCAAAATAACTAATGACTTACATGAAATAGCCAAAAGTAGAGGAAATTGGGCTACAGCTAGATGGGCTGTGAGGTTGTATATCTGAAGCATAAATTTGTTTTGCTTATGATATTCCTAGGATGTAAGGCAAAACAGGGAGCATTATTATGGGTTCACATGACACTCACTTCATGAAGGAATAGAGTTCACTTTTTTTTTTTTTTTTTTTTTTTTTTAATGGCAGCAAAATTTTGCCAAGTGCAATGTTCCAGAAAAAATTTCTAGTACAGGATGCTTTATGGGTCAGTGTTGGTATCCTGACTAATCACTAAACCTTCAGAAGAGGGGAGATTAACAGAAAGACAGAGGTCCGAACCCAACCTCCAGAGATTTTAGTTCAGTAGATCTGGGTAACACGTTCGTACTTATATATTTTTCAAAGTCTTTCTCAATCTATCTGATCATTAGCCGAGTTTGGAAAGTATTGATGTAGGGTATATTCAGGTGACTTAGGTTGGGTTTCCCCACAAAGTGGGCAATGAGATGAAATTTGAATGCAAAGAGTTTATTTAGGAAGTGTTTCCCAAAAGTTTATTTGGGAAACATCAAAAGGGAAGTAGAAAAGTGAGACAAGGGAAGAAAGACAGCAAAAATTCGTGCCTTACAAAGCCCATTATTTTGATGTATGAGTTGAGCTTCATTCTTCTGGGGAAACTCTGCAACATGGGGTAGAATATATGCTTCCCAGAGTGAGGGGTCTGGGTGTTTATACACCAAGTTCTTACTAGTCATTGGCTGACGATTGCACCTTGAAGGTGCAACTCGCCAATATTCCAAACCTGCTATGTAAGTGGCAAAATATGCCGTGGTGACCACAGAAAACCCTCAGGCAAGTGGATGCAGGAGGTGCCAGTTGGAATTTGGCTGGTGTACATGCAAATGGTAAGACTGAAGGCAGATGTGGCTGCCAGTGACACCACCCTCCCCAACATCCCCACCATCCCAGGAGCAACCTGGAAATAAAAGTCATCATCCCCATGATTGAAAACTATATGTACATCTGCCCCATCCTGGAGCCTGGTTTACTTAAGTGTATGTGGGATTTCAGAGCTGGCTGGGCCTAAAGGGATGGGTATAAAAAAGGGATAAACCATTGTGATCCCCAAACACCAAGCTCTGCTAACTAGCTGAGTGAGCTAAGACTTGCTTTGTTCTTTAGAACCTCACTTCCCTCTTGTGCAAATTAAGAAAAATGTCTTTCCCTATCCTCCTCCACTTATCAAGAGTCTTAAGATGAGACTTCATAAAATGAAAGGATGCGGAATAACTAGGCAATGTGACACTGGTGGAGCAAAGGGCTTTGCAGATAGCTACCTGGCTCTGCTCTTGCAGGATGCTTTCTAAGTTTTCGTTTCCTCATCTGCAAAATTAGAAAAATGATAGTATCTACTCGATAATAAATGTTGTGAGAACTAGGGAAGATGGGAACAGAATCTTGCACTATGCCAAGTAAATGATAACTTTAGGGAAAAGTGGAATTGTTTGATAAGAGATTCTTTATCTGTGACTTATGCACAGGATTCCTCAGTTCATGTGAATATAAAAAGTCTTGTTAGTGGTGAAGTGCTGAAAATGTCAGTTTAAGTCAGTCCTGTTTGTCCCCCTAAAGACTTACTCCAGGCAATACTTTTTCGAGATTTTCTTCTTCCTTTCTCACATCGCATTTGCCTCTTGTCAGTTGGCTCCTGAGAGAGCCCAAGAACTGGCAGGGCTGTCTGTGGGAATGAAAGACTTTGAGAGAAGACCAGCATCTTTCAGACATTTTCCTTCAGAAGAAATGCAGACAATCCCAAGGAAGCCGGCTTTTTGTGAATTAACCTCATCCTACTCCCCATGGGTCATTTTCTTTGGAAATCTATTCAACAGTCGATGAGATTAGCACAACAGATTGCTTGTTAGTTCTCAGACCAACAGCCAGATTTCAGATTGCCTTTTGTTTTACAAACTCTTCTTTGTAAGAAAATAAAAATAAAAAGAATAAAACAAAAAACATGAGGTTTTGGTTCTAACCCCAGAGAGACCTACAATATATTCGTTTCAGGCCTAGCTTTTGAGGTCAGATCCAGAGAACTCCTGCCATTTGGATACCTGGACATCCATAGGGAAAGAAAGCAAATACATTGATACTTGTTTGAAAATGGTAAGCAAAATGCAGAACATTTTCCAGCCAAAGAAGAAACACAACTTATGAAATTGATCAACTCAATTGCCACTAGTGAGTGACATGTGTAAATGTTTGCACTGAACTTGGAGACAGCCTTAAAAATATATCTAGTAATTTCCCCAGAAACACGAAACTTAGGCCATCCCTAGGCCAAATTTGGCAAGTACGCTTTGTTTTCAATGTTTCCAACATCTGTTTTCCTGATGTTTTCACAACCCAATTCCATGTTACCCCAATGTGCACGCAGACACACACACACACTCACACACATGCACACATGCATGCACACATGCATGGTTCCTAAGTGATCCTCACTAGCTTCTGGTTCTTTTCTTATTGAGGAGATTATAGCCATAAAACTAGTGACTTTCCTTTTTACTGTCCTCCACCAATGAAACCATGAGACTCTATGTTCACCTTGTGGCTTCTACCGCATAATTTGCCTGAGTTGAATGAAGAAGTCTTGGACCTTGAGGAGTGGCCCTGGTTGGGGATATGTAGCCCACTAAGTCATATGGCACATTTGGGACCATCCGTATCATGAGTGTGGGCAAATGTGGATGAGGAATGCAGATCTTCCTTTTTGTGTGAATTCAGATTCACCTATTTGGACTTCGGAATGAGCTGGACAGGACATTTACAAATGTGTGGTAATTGAAATTGCCTCTGGTTTGCTCTGTATGGGTCAGACCCAATCAGCTTAAGCTAACAAGGGCTCTGGAAATGGAGAAGGGCATCGTTTATGGACAGTCATTTTTTTCATGCCAAGCAGGGATGCACTCAATCACTTGTGGTTTATGTTGTTACTCAAGGAAACAAATGCTAATCAACTCTCCCTCTCCAGCAACTTGCACCAGGATCATTTTCTCCACCTCTCCACTGGGAAACCAGGTCATGCTCAACATAGAACATGTTATCTGGGGGCTGTTTTAAAAGGCAAACTGATCTCCTCATCCTATCTTGAAAGAATAAGAGGGCTTTTGGAATCATAAATATTCTTTACTGTGACTCTGTGACAATGTGGGAGCCTTACATGCCCTTCGAATCCTCAAGGAAACTTGCTGATGGCCAGTGACATTTTCATGGTGTATGTTGTTGTGTTGTTTATCAAGAGAGGAAATTAGTGTCCTTTAAGGGACACTGGTTGGGGAACATGAGGACACAGTGCTAATCTGCAGGCCTGCAAGAGTTTCAATTTCAACACCTGTAAATTAAGTAGGCAAGCTCATCCCTAAGACTCTCCCAGCCCTAACAATCTAGGCATTCACCTGGCTGTAGTAACAAAGACGTTTAATTAAGCAGAATTTTCCACTTCCTGACTCTGCCGATAGATAAGAGAACTTACTATATGAATTGAAAGTATTAAGCCAATAAGGAAAACCTACCCACGTCCGAGGCTGCCTTATGTTTGTTGATGTCAGGACAGGAATTATTGTGAAGAATCAGAGAAGGACGTAAAAAAGAACAATGCGTACCTGGCAGATTTTGTATATCATTGCATTACAATTTGCCAAAGTGTTCTTGAAAGTTAAATCTTCCATTACATAACTTTTCATCACTTTGTTAAAAATGTTCCAGTTGGGTTGGTATGTGTTATGATTTTCCTTGCTTCAAAGATAAGCACGTTGTCAAAGATTAGGCTAAAATTCCTAGGTATTTCTGAATTTAAAAGGTTGGGGTTAAGAAACAGATGCCAAAACAGAAGGCTGAGAAAAGCTGTTATTTAAAATATTTAGAAGGTAAGATATAGGTAAGATACTATGTGCCTTGAGTTGATAGTTAATTTCAAAAATCTTACACTCCCCAAATAGGTAGCTCTCCATCTGCAAGGGTTTGGAAAATTAAGGGTCAAGCTGGGATCAAAACTGAAGCATACATGTTGGGCCTTTTTCTGTGCAGACTTGAGTCTTAGTTCCTTTCACTCATTGGCAGCATATACTGTTGGCCTTGGGGGACAGAGCATTCCCACAAGCCAGCAGGAAGAGCATTTCCTCTCAATTCTGATCATAAATGGGTGCCATAGCCTGGTATTTATTTTAAAATAATGAAACAAACAAAAGAATTAATTTTCTCCTCCAGTGGCTTATACCTGATTCATGGCAACCGAACTTAAAGGTTCTTTTTAAACAAAAACAAAAAAGTACTTGAGGCACTGTTAACTAAAAATCTACACATATAATTCAGGCAGGGGAATTATTAACCTATGACACATCTCTCAGCTCTATGTGTATGGAGAATTTCAAAGTAAATATGTGGAAATTTAACTTTCCTGCATCTGAACAAGGATATGACTATACTTACAATCCTTTTCAGGGATTTTTGCTTCACAAGTGCTTTTACTTGAATAATACAATAGACCATTGGGAAAATAAGCTCTCATTAGTGAGGACACAAAGATTATTTTGGAAGAAGCAGCCTGGAATGGATTATCTGATTTGTGAAAGCTTTTCTAAAATGAATGCGACTCATACACTCAAATAAATACAGTTAATTTACTTTTTTAAAGGGTTGTCTTAGCAAAGGCTTGATTTTCCTATTCTATAGGAAAAAATATGTGTATTTCAGTTCAGTTGGGTATCTTTTACAGGAGTACCTGCAGAGATATATTATAGTATTGCCCTCCAGGGGGCGATAAATCTTCAACAAAGCTTCAGTCTCACTGGGAAGGTGAATTCTCAGTTCAGTTAGTAAAAGCAGATATTCTGGCTTCCTTCTTGCTGGGATGCAGGAATTCTCAGGCCTATATCCTGAATTTTACATCGAGGAGTTACCCCAGGTTTCTAGACTAGATATAACACTTTTAGCAAGTCTGGTGGGGTTGAGGTGAAAAGCTCATGGCCCTGGGGTGTGTACTATGAGCAGAGCCTGGCCACAGTACTCTGCAGCCTCGCCACAGGTCCTGGATTAGCTGACCCTGATTGTCCCTTACAATAAATAAACATTTAAAGATACTATTGCTACCTAGGACCTCTAGGGCTTTCTGAGAGCAGAAATATTATGCCCAAAGATACCCTAACTTGGCTTGGAGAAGGCTAAGTGTCTCAAAATGGCAGAGGTTCCCTCTTCCCTACATAAATCTCACAAAGGGCTATTTTTGTGGTATTAAAAAAATAAAACCATCACATAGGAGACTGCAGAACTATAGGTCTGAGGAATCAGCAACTTTAGGTAGGAAAGTTGATGAGCATAAGGCAGCACAGTGGATAAATGGTTCATAGCTTCTGGAGTTGGCAGACTGGGTTTCAATGCCTGCTATTCTTACAAACTCTGTATTAATTACTTAACTCCTGTGTCTCTGACTCTCATTCACAAAAGACTATCTCACAGGGGAGTTTGTAAGGATTCATTAAGATACTCCAAAGAAAGTACTTGTTGCATAGTAAGTGTTCCATAAATGCCATCAGTTCTACTATTCCTTAGTCTGGAACTGAGATCTCTACTATATAGTTCCAGCCTTGTTTCTCACTTCTTTGCACAGACTCCTTCATCCCAAACACCTCCCTATATGATATCCCTCTGCTCCCTCTGCTTCTTCTATCTTCCTTGTCTACATCATCATCTTATGAGATCCCACCCAAGTTTTAAGGATTATCTGTAATGGTACCTTAAAACCAATAACTTCCACACAATTCCCTACTTCCAAGAACCAAATGTGCTTTTTCCTATCTCTGGCCAATGACAAGGACACAATATCTTGATTGTATGGCAGATGCCCAGGAGTATATATTTTTTTAAAACTCATAGAACTGTGTACCTAATCTAAGAAAATTATAACTATAAACCAACTCCGTAGGAATTTAATGTGAAGACCTGTCTTTGGAGACAGAAAGATTTGATTCAAATTTAAGTTCTAAGACTTTCTATCTGGTAAATCAATGAACCTCTCTTACTTGAAGTTTTTTCCTATGTAAATAGAGCAGTTGTCACTTTCTTCTCTTGTTGGGAGAGTTTAAAGACACAATAATAACATAAAAATGCCTCTCACAGTGCTTGCACCCAGTTGATGCTACATGATTACAAGGACCTTCCTCCCTAGCATAACCATTTCTACATTTGCCAAACATGCCCCAGTCCACCAGAAAGTAGTCTTGAGGACAGGCTATGTGCTGTCTTTTTCTTTTCCATTTTGTCCAGCATAGCACAAAGGTATAATAAGTATTTGGATTCAATAGCTAATTAAATCTATTTTTGAAGAGTAAATGCCAAAAGGCATCCTGACTTAAGCCTCTAAAGGATGCCACACTTGTATATAACCACCTAGTAAAGTTCAGTATTTTAGAGTCTGACAGATACTTAACTCAGCCAATAATTCAGCTATGGCTCCCCAGTGTACAGTAGGGCTTAATAACACATTTTTTCATTGTGATAGTTCTTTGAGTTCATAAAGGTTGTCTGTTTTTCTTTAGAGCAAGTAGAATGACTATACTGTTTTCTTGACCAATAAGTCACTCTGTTTTCCATGGTTCAAAGTTAAGCTTTTATTTGGTTTTAAATTAAAAAAATAAATTTCATTATTAAATAGTGAGATGGATCTAACTAATGTTCAGATAGTAGCTTACTCAGAAATATACCACCGGGGGTACAGTTAAGGGGTGGATCACCTAAACTAAAATTATTTGTTTTGTTGTAGTGTTTGTTAAAAGTTCAGCAGTGGCATAATTCAAAAGAAATTGAAATACAAAGTTTTAAATGTTTACAATGGATGGGAGAAGTAAACCACTTATTTCTACTGCAATCGCAAACTACTTTCTTTCTCAATGCCAGTCAGTTTGGACACTATACCACAGTGCTAATATCATCAGGTTCATCTGCTTTCTTTTGCCTGCTTGGCAGGGATTTCAAGTATTCGAGGTGTCTCCGGGCATCCTCCTGATTTTGCCTCACATAATATACCACGTATGAGATCACCATGGTGAACCAGCCAAACATGGTGACCAGCATGGCATAATCGGTAGTTTTTTTAGGGAGGTTACAAAGGTCAGCATCGTTGGCAGCATTGAGGAATGGTCTGCCAGCATGTTCATCCAACACAGACGTTTTACATATCACATTGTGGGCTGTCTCATGATTGGATGCCATGCTCCTCAGAACTTGCTGTAGAGTACAGTCGCAGTGCCAGGGGTTGTTGGCAATTCTGGCCCTGGCCTTCAGGTTATTGAAGGCATTTTTGTGCACACTTTGAATCCGATTGTCGGACAAGTCCAGAGTCTGCAAGGTTTCAGCCACTCCTTTGAAGGCATGCTCATCGATAAACTCAATGCCATTTTTGGACAGGTTGAGAACTCTCAGTTGATGGAGGTCCTTAAAAATTTCATTGGGAATAGATGTGATCTGATTGGAGTCCAGATACAGTAAGACTGTTTCAGGAGGAAGATCTCTAGGTATTTCCTTGAGATTTGCATTGCTACAGGTGACATTTAAACCCCCAGAGGAAGAACAAAGACAGCCCTTGGGACACATACTGGCAGAATGAAAGCACAGTATCATAAGAACAAAACTTTGTAGGAGGAGACACATGGAGAGGGAACGGGTTAACCACAGGTCTACCAGATTCATGCTGGAATGTCAGCATAATCACGAGCCCATTCCTCATTTACTCCAACAAGTGTGGTAATGGTTCCAGCCCTGTCCACACTATTGATCTCCTTCTTGCGTGGTTCAAAAGGCTGCAGCTAACACATGTGTCTCTTCATTATTTCTGTCCTTGCTTGGGCACCTAAAGGAAAGGGAAACAGATGCAATTAGCTCCTTTGCAAAGGAAGGTACATTGTAATTAAAGGTGCTCTCAGGTGTCTGGCATTCTATGTGGGTAGGGGGTTAGGTTATGCAAGTAATTTCCATCAATGCCACTAGGAATTCTCTGTGAAATGGGAGTCTCCTGTTCAAATCCCAGGTGCTGGGGGAGAGAACTGTCAATATATGAAAATACTTCTGAATTCTGTTGCCTGGTTTTCAGTTGGATAGAATGAGAACAAACACTCCCTATTTCTCTGCTGATCTCCATATCTTGGACCCCTTCTAACTCTACAGAAATAAAATTTAATTACGCCGCTCACCCTTTCTGAGACAACAGATGCATTAATGCAATTTAGTCCTGCACTTGGGCAGCAATGAGAAATAATACCAATATTTCATGGTTAATGACTATAGACAGGGATATCTGTCATGGCTTTTGAATGGATGCCCAATTTGGAATATTGTCTCTAAAGAAACATCTTACTTGAATTAAGAAAAGAATAAATGCATTCCAACCTTCACAACAAAATATTGCTGGAGGCTGACAACCAAGAACCTCCAGGATAGTTGCCTTCCTTGTGACCTCTTAAAATTACATTATACCTGGGAGGATGCTTTTAACTGAATTTCCAGAGGATCCTCTCTCTCTTTTCTAAGGACCATATCCCCATCCCAATAAATGCTTAAATATGACACACACCTACAAGACTTTTTTATATAACAAGAGAATTAAGAAATACTGGCTTTGAAAACTTTCCCAATAAACTTCACTCTCTATGTGTTGCATATATATACTGTTAGTGTTGGCAGAGACCACAGAAATTGCAAAATTAAGTGATATGAACAAAGTTATGAAACTTACTCGACAGCAGAGAGCAGAGATAAGAATATAAGTTATGAAACTTACTCGACAGCAGAGAGCAGAGATAAGAATATAAGTTAACTCTCAAAATTACCCTTTAGTATAGAGAGGAAAGCACACATCTTTGGGACCAGTTCACAGAGGAGACAAGTGGATCCCAGAGAGATGAGGTTTCTTGCCCAAGGTCAAACAGATTGAGATGTAGAGACAGGACTCAAGCCAAAGTCTTTGTTCTGACTCATTAATATCAAAATCCTTTCCACTATCCACACACTCTCTTCCAATCTCATCTGCTCTATAAGTATTTAGCAAGCATTGCTTATTGTGATTTATGATGCTGTTATGTTGCAGCCCTATCTTTTATGCTATGAATACTGTGCCAAGTTGAGGACCCCATGGACCTCAAGTGAGGGGTCCCTCTGCATTTCAAAGGGAACCCATGCCTGACTGAGAAGATTCCCTCCCAGGATCTGAGAAACAAGAAGAGCATTCACTCCTCTTACAGCAGTGAACAACACACAACTTTCTGCATGAGCAACTAATGACTTTCTGAAAACTTATCTTTTATGAAGATCCCAGATGGATAAATACAGAGAGAAATGACTCCAAATGTTACCAGACTCACAGAAGAGAAGATTAATGATTAATGTGAGCTGAAAACATAATGATCTGGATTGTTAATCATGGAAAAAATGAGATTAGCAACAGCAGAATGCAGTGGATGTGCTTTTGGAAAACTGAGTCCCTTAAATACCAGAGAATGCTAAAGAGAGACCCTAAGCTTACTAAGCCCTCTATCACCAGAGCATTTCATTGGCAATGAAAGTGTCCTCCCTTTCGTGTTTCCCTTCAAAACTGTCTTGCATAGCACTTGGGGACTCTAGGAATCTAGATGGGAAAGAAAAACAATAAACAGGTGTGAAAGGGAAGAGAGAAGACAGAGGAGTAGAAGGACAAGGCAATGAATTCTAGGAAAGGGGCATGAGAAAAACACAGGAGATAGAAGAAATTAATGGAATTGAAGAAAATAAAGGGAGTCCACATCAACCAAGTGATTCCACTGAGTATGTGCAACCAGCCTAAAACATGCTGAAAGATGAGAAGCCATTTCTGGAGGACACTTCATATTTCTCTTGGGATTCATTAAAGGAGTTTGGTGTAGTAAAGTGTTCTCTATTCAGAGTACAAGCTCCATGAGGGCAGAGACTTGTTTCTGCCTCTTGCAGAGACAACAGTAAGCAATTACAAAGTAGAAAGTACACTGAGTTTGCATATCAGCTTTATTTGTTATTTTATTTTATTTTGAGATGGAGTCTTGCTCTGTTGCCCAGGCTGGAGAGCAATGGTGTGATCTCGGCTTACTGCAAATCTCCGCCTCCCGGGTTCCAGTAATTCTCCCGCCTCAGCCTCCCAAGTAGCTGGAACTACAGGCACATGCCACCATGTCCAGCTATTTTTTGTTGTTGTTGTATTTTTAGTAGAGACAGGGTTTCACCATGTTGGCCAGGCTGATCTTGAACCCCTGACCTTAAGTGATCCACCTACCTTGGTCTCCCAGTGTGCTAGCATTACAGGTGTGAGCCACTGCATCGGGGCTGTATCCCAACTTTAATTCTTATTAGTAGTGGTGTTCTTGGGGATCTCATTTTCTTTATCTTTGTATAAAGATGATAAAAGCACCTAATTACAAGGTTGACTTGAGGGTTATATGAAGTAATCCATGTAAAGCCCTTAGCACAGTATGAAATTGGTAGTAAAAGTTCAATGCTTCTTAGCCATAGTTACTATTATTATTCTTGGATACATTCCCAACACCCAGCATAGTGCTTGGCATATGGTGAGGACTAAATAAATATCTTTTATATGAATAAAGCAACAAAATATTGAAGAGTCTAGCTCTGCTTTTTATTCTCCATGGCAATTATTTTTATAAATATTTTATTTTTTATTTATTTATTTATTTTTTGTTTATTTATTTATTATTATTAAACTTCAAGTGGTAGGGTACATGTGCACAACGTGCAGGTTTGCTACATATGTATACTTGTGCCATGTTGGTGTGCTGCACCCATCAACTCGTCATTTACATCAGGTATAACTCCCAATGCAATCCCTTCCCCCTCCCCCCTCCCCATGATAGGCCCCGGTGTGTGATGTTCCCCTTCCCGAGTCCAAGTGATCTCATTGTTCAGTTCCCGCCTATGAGTGAGAACATGCGGTGTTTGGTTTTCTGTTCTTGTGATAGTTTGCTGAGAATGATGGTTTCCAGCTGCATCCATGTCCCTACAAAGGACACAAACTCATCCTTTTTTATGGCTGCATAGTATTCCATGGTGTATATGTGCCACATTTTCTTAATCCAATCTGTCACTGATGGACATTTGGGTTGATTCCAAGTCTTTGCTATTGTGAATAGTGCTGCAATAAACATACGTGTGCATGTGTCTTTATAGCAGCATAATTTATAATCCTTTGGGTATATACCTAGTAATGGGATGGCTGGGTCATATGGTACATCTAGTTCTAGATCCTTGAGGAATCGCCATACTGTTTTCCATAATGGTTGAACTAGTTTACAATCCCACCAACAGTGTAAAAGTGTTCCTATTTCTCCACATCCTCTCCAGCACCTGTTGTTTCCTGACTTTTGAATGATCGCCATTCTAACTGGTGTGAGATGGTATCTCATTGTGGTTTTGATTTGCATTTCTCTGATAGCCATAAGTAGAAAGCTGAAACTGGATCCTTTCCTTACTCCTTATACGAAAATTAATTCAAGATGGATTAGAGACTTAAATGTTAGACCTAATACCATAAAAATCCTAGAGGAAAACCTAGGTAGTACCATTCAGGACATAGGCATGGGCAAAGACTTCATGTCTAAAACACCAAAAGCAACGGCAGCAAAAGCCAAAATTGACAAATGGGATCTCATTAAACTAAAGAGCTTCTGCACAGCAAAAGAAACTACCATCAGAGTGAACAGGCAACCTACAGAATGGGAGAAAATTTTTGCAATCTACTCATCTGACAAAGGGCTAATATCCAGAACCTACAAAGAACTCAAACAAATTTACAAGAAAAAAACAAACAACCCCATCAAAAAGTGGGCAAAGGATATGAACAGACATTTCTCAAAAGAAGACATTCATACAGCCAACAGACACATGAAAAAATATTTTAAACATAAACATTGGTTCATCAAATGTCTACTGGTGTTACACGGCAACATAATGCACTTAGGAAAAGTCATATGTGTTTCAGGCTCCTAGGAGATGGAAAGAAGAATGGAACTCTTCCTCAGCAGGCTTCTTTACACTTATTCAGGGTTTCTCCAGAAGGATCAGTCCAATGGTCATGGTCATATATAAGAAATGTTTAGGACACAGGTTGAGTTCTCTACTCAGATTGCAATCTTTCTTGAGATGGAATCCATCATATCCCAAATGGTCTACCTGTGAACTGGATGTAATGCTTGTTAGGAGTATAAATACAGAGCACCCCTTGCTTTCAAAGAAGTTGGACTTGAACTGAGTATTTCATTTTCTTTCTATTATGTTTGATAAAAAGAGAATAAAGTCTTCTGGGATTGGCTATATTGCTGAGCCTCTGTGAGTCAACCTCTACAGCCATCACCCCCAACTAGAATAAAGTGACAAAAGATGCAGGATGTAGACAGCTGAGCCCTGGGATGCTGCAGTGGTTTGAGTATGTGTGTCCTTCACATTTTCTGATGTCTAAATCTAATCCCCAGTGTGAAGATATTTGGAGGTGGGGTCTTTGAGAAGTGATTAGGTCATGAAAGCAGAGCCATCATGAATGGGGTTAGTGCCCTTATAAAAGAGGCCCCAGAGAATTCCTTCATCCCTTCTGCCATGTGAAGAAACAGAGAGAAGAGAGCCATCTATAAGCCAACAAACAGGACCTCACCAGAAACCAAATCTTCTGGCACCTTGATCTTGAGCTTTGCAGACTCCAGAACTGTAAGAAATAAATTTCTATTGCTTTAGCAGTGCAAATAGACTTAGACAGATGTCCAGGATGTAGACAACAAAGCCAAAGGCATCAAGTCAAGGTCATCTTCACCAGGGAGGATGGAAGAGCTGCTTTCCACTCCA